ATGTACCGGCAAAGGTTCCGGAGTCAGCGTAAAACCCGTGAGGTCACATACCTACAACTAGCCAACCGGGCGCAGGGGTATGTCCACAAGTGGACAGCTGGGGCCCAAACTAAAGAGGACCAGCTTGACCTATTCGTACTGGAGCACGTGTATGAGCAGTGCCCATCCGACCTGAGGCGATGGTTGATGGACCAAAAGCCGGAGAACCCGCAGCACACAGGCCAGTTGGCCGACGAGTTTGTGAACAGTCGGGCAGTGGATAACAGGGAGGAGTCCCAAAGGAACAGTCCCACCACAACGCAGAGCGAGAGTCACCATGGGACCTCCCAGCGGGGAAATATGGAGAACGCCCGCCAAAGGGGAACATCCAGCGTCAGGTCCATCTGACCAGCTTGAGGGGACCCATGGGACATGGGCTGCTATCACTGTGGCCAGAGAGGCCACATATGGGCCCAGTGCCCCAGGCTCAGGGACAGACTGAGCGGACCCAACCCACAGAGGGTTGACTGGGTAGAGACCCAGCCGGACGAGGGGCAGCATTCCCCGGCCAGGGGGGCTGGCAGCGTACCACCTGCTAAGGAGGGAGGAGAGCTCCAGGCCAGCTCCTCAGGGGGGCTGGATGCTCCAGACTCAGGGTTTTTGGTTATACGGTGGGTGCGGGGCTGTCCCTCCGGAGAGAGTACCTTGTTCCCCTGGAGGTGGATGGGAGGAAGGTCAATGGATACTGGGATACGGGCTCAGAGGTGACGCTGGTCCGGCCCGAGGTGGTGGCCCCAGATCGGGTGGTGCCCGACACCTACCTGACCCTGACGGGGGTGGGTGGGACCCCATTCAAGGTGCCTGTGGCAAGGGTACACCTGAAGTGGGGGGCCAAGGAGGGCCCCAAGGACGTGGGGGTACACCCGTATTTGCCCACTGAGGTGTTGATGGGGGGGGGGAACCTGGAGGACTGGTCAAGCAACCCCCAGGGTGCCCTGGTTGTGACCCGCAGTCAGAGCCGGCAAGGGGCACTGCGCCCTGGCCCTGGGGATGGTGCCTTGCCTGAGGCGCAGGACCCTAACCTGGTGGGGAGGGAACACCCAGGGACACGGCTCAGGGAGGCTGCAGCTTCAGACCCAGCCGGCGAGAAAGAGCAGGTGGCCATCCCTGTCCCAGCTGCTGAGTTCCAGGCCGAGTTGCAGAGAGATCCCTCCTTGCGGAAGATAAGGGACCTGGCCGACCTCAGTGCAGTACAGACCATGGGACGAGGTGGCCGGAAAAGGTTCCTGTGGGAGAAGGGGTTCCTGTACCAAGAATGGGCTCCCTCAGGAAAAATGGAGTCAGGGGGGATCAGGAGGCAGCTGGTGGTACCCCAGAAGTATCGCCGCCAGCTGCTGTGCCGGGCCCATGACATTCCCTTCTCAGGGCACCAGGGAACCTGGCGTACCCAGCAGAGGCTGCTATGGAGCTTTTACTGGCCTGGGGTCTTTGTTACTGTCCGACAGTACTGCCGATCCTGTGACCCCTGTCAGAGGGGGAGGAAGGCCCGGGACAAGGGAAAAATGGCTTTAGGACCCTTGCCCAGCATAGAGGAGCCTTTCCAGAGGGTGGCCAAGGTTAAAAGGGGGGCTCTGAACCAAGAGAGCCCGAATCACTGACCTCCAGACTGGAACGCTGGGAGAAGACCAGGGCCGGCTTTAGGCCGATTCAGCCGATTCAGCTGAATTGGGCCCCGTGCCAAGAGGGCCCCGCGCCGCAGCTCTCCACCCCGCCCCCAGCTCACTTCCCCCTCCTCCCCTCCCCTGCACGCTCCGCCCCCTGCTCCTCCCCCCGCCCCTGCTTCCCGCGAATCAGAGGTTCGCGGGAAGTCTGAAAAGAAGCAGGGGCGGGCAGACAGGCTGGCAGCACCAGGTAAGCTGGGATGGTGGGGGGCATGAGAAAGGCTCCGGGGAGGCGCGGTGCGGCCCAGTCCAGCCCCGGCCGAGCACCTCCGGCCCCAGCAGCTCCAGCCCCGGGGCGCCAGCCCGGCCCGCTCAGCTCGGCTCCGGCCCAGGCCCCGCGGCCTGGTTCGGGCCCGGCCCGTGTCTGGCCCCCCAGCTCAGCTCCAGCCCGGCCCCCGTGGCTTGGCTACGGCTCAGGCCCTGCAGCTCGGCTCGGGCCTGGCCCCCCGGCTCAACTCCAGCCCGGCCCCGGCTGAGCGGCTCCGGGCCAGACCCAAGCCCCACGACCCCGGCTGGAGCTCCGGCCGGAGCGGGGCCCGATTCCTGGGGGCGGGGCTTGCGGCAAGCCACGCCCCCAGGAATCGGGCCCTGCTCTTGCTAAAGCCGGCCCTGGCGAAGACCCCAGCCCAGTTGGAACCACAGGGGTATTGGGGTGGGAAAAGGGCACAGGCCACATAAATCTTCCCACATGCAAACTACGAGTGCCATCGAGCACCCCAGACCTAAGGGGAGGCGTGAAACTGGAGGGGCCTGGTGTAATTCTCACCAAGAAATGGGAGGGATGCTGGGGCATCCACGGGAACGGGGGTAGGTTCGAACTTCCCCGGGTCAATGGCTAAAGTGACCCCGCTCAGTTCGGTCTCGAAGGGGGGAGAGATATGACGAACTGGGACTGTTCTTACTGTGGTCTTTGAATGCTGACAGGGGAGTGTGGCTAGGATAGTCTGCATTGGGGGATGGGAGACTGACCCATGGAGAATACCTGAGCATGTAACATGAGAACCCAGGAAGGGGTTAGAGGCCAGGTGACACCTTTGCCCAGGGAAACTGAAAAAAAAGCTGTGGGAGGGGTCGCTGAAGGGAGAGTTTCAGGAGCTGGCTAGGGACTTGGCTGGGAGGCAGACAGGGCTCTGACCTCCCAAGGGGAGCTGGGGTGCCCGGGGACCCCAAGATGGACCTAACTGAGGGGGTCCTGTCATCTGTGCCTGCAAGACCTGTCTTGGTCTGTGTCTCTGTCGTCTAAATAAATCTTCTGCTTTACTGGCTGGCTGAGAGTCATGGTGAATCGCAGGAAGCCGGGGGGTGCAGGGCCCTGTGTCCCCCCACACTCCGTGACAATGATGCATGTACAACCACATGTCTAGTCTGAGCGGCGGAACAGGGTGTTGATTGACTCCCTCACTTCACGTGAATCTGCCTCAGAGATCTCCACGAAACTCTCATGGAGATACTGGGCAATCCGCTGCCACAGGTTCTTTGGCAGAGCTGCTTTGTTTCTTGCCCCATTAACAGTAACTTTCCCGCACCACTCTGCTGTCAGGGGGAAAGGGGGCATTGCTGCACACAGGCGAGCTGCATAAGGGCCAGGGCGGAAGCCGCAGTCTTAGAGACGACCCTCCCTTGATTCCCTGCTTACCCTCAGCAGCGAGATATCTTCCATAACGAACACAGCCTGTGGAAAATGTGGGCACAGTAATGATTATAAGCCTCCCCCCCCCTACAGTGCAGGCTCTCTCCAAGAGCCACGTGCCCAGTGTACAGTATGGTCCTGGAACACTGATTTCCCCTGCCCCTGTGGCTACTCACCAGTTTGGGGGTCTTGTGGCTCACGTGTGCTTGCCTGGGGTCAGCCAGTTACTGACAGGTATGTGAATAGTGGCTGTGTTTTAAATCACTGAATCAGTGCTCTGTGTGTTGCAAACAATACTGCTTCTGTAAAATGTTGCATTTTGGCTTCACAGATATGACCTTGGGAGCCAGCCTCCCTCTTTGTGATCACCGGCTGAACAGCTGCACGGAATTAGAAAGCGGCCACAAAGAACTAAAGAGGACTTTCTGCGTGATGTCATGATGCACTCCACAGCCGAAAAACAAGAATTGAAGGAGAGGCGGGACACCGAGAAGAGGGATCCAAAGGAGAAGGCGGTGCGCCAGAACGAAGCCCCGGAGCTTCTCTTAGACATTATGGAGCACCAAGTGGACATGGTCTAGGCACTACTAGCACTGCAAACAGAGCAGCTCCACGCCCGCCCTCCCCTGCAGCTGCTGTTGCAAATCTCTTTCCCATGCTCCCCCCAGACACCGCCAACACACCCATATCAACCTCCTGGCTCCAGTCTGTACCTGCTGCATTCCACTCCTCCCCAACACAGTCCAACCCTGTGGACTCCTAGAACCCAAAGCACTCAACACCCATCCCTCTGCAGTTTAGCCCTGCTGAAGTACAGTATCTGCTGCACTGTACTCCAAGGGACAAGGTTGCATATGATACCTGGATGTACACAAATCTTTAATCGTCCCGGGATCCCACCTCTTCCTGGGACCCTCCCTTCCCCCATCCCCCACAGTGCTGATGTGGTTTTTTTGTTTGTTTCTCTCCTCCGGTTGTTGTTTTTTAATAAAAGAATTGTTTTGGTTTTAAAAGAATCTTTATTCCATTAACTGAAACCAAACAGAGCCCTGCAAAGCAACAGGTAATTTTCTTAAACCTTCATAGTGCATCGTCTGCACCTGTTACAATCACCTCCTAGCATTACAAGCACTGCACTCCCGAACATAGCAACAAATATTAGTGGCTTTCAGATTCAAATTGCTGCCTCAGGGCATCCCTAATCCTTATGGACCTGAGCTACGCCCCTCTAATAGCCCTGGTCTTTGGCTGTTCAAATTCAGCCTCCAGGCACTGAGCCTCAGCGGTCCAGCCCTGAGTGAGGCTTTCACCCTTCCCTTCACAACTATTATTGAGTGTATAGCACGCGACTATAAGCATAGGAATATTGTCATCGGCCAGGTCCAGCTTCCCATAAAGGCAGCACCAGCGGGCCTTTAAATGCCAAAAGCACACTCAACAGTCATTCTGCACTTGCTCAGCCTGTTTTTGAACCGCTCATTGCTGCCGTCAAAGTTCCCCGTGTATGGCTTCATAAGCCACAGCATTAAGGGGTAGGCAGGGTCTCCCAGGATCACAATGGACATTTCGACTTCCCCTACAGTGATCTTCTCGTCCGGGAAGAAAGTCCCAGGTTGCAGCTTCCTGAACAGACTAATGTTCCGAAAGATGCACGCGTCATGCACCTTTCTGGACTAGCCTGCGTTAATGTCTGTGAAACTCCCACGGTGATTCACAAGCGCCTGGAGAACCACAGAGAAATACCCCTTGCGATGAATGTACTCGGTGGCTAGGTGATCTGCTGCCAGAATTGGAAAATGCATGCCATCTATTGCCCCTCCGCAGTTAGGGAAGTGCATGTTGCCCAGAGTTGAATTGGTTCATTTTCATGTAGATGTGTGTAACGAGGGCAGCTCTGCCAGGCGGGGCTGGAACCCGGGAGGCTGTCGCTGACGCTGCCTGACCCAGGGTTAAAGCCAAACCCCACAGCAATGACCGAAGGGCTGGGGAAGGAGACAGAGCCACGGTCCCAGGATCTCGCTGCTCTAAGGATGCACAGGAACCGTGTGAGGAGCAGCAGCAGGGCAAGAACAAAGCAACAAAACAGCCTCACAAAGAGGTGGGTTTTTGTATTTTGTTTTACACTGAACCTGCTGCTCCAGGCAGGATGGGCAGCAAACCCCAGGGGTCCCCACTGCAGCCACTGGTCCCTGCGTGTGACAGACAGCTGGGATCACGCGGGCCGGTCTGCAGGCTGAGAGATGGGAGAGCAGGTGGGATGTTTGCAGAGCGAACAGGGAGGCGCTGGCTGAAGAAGGTGCTAAGGGGGATAGTGCAGCTGGTTCAGGGAAGAGCAGCAGCTGAGACGAGGCCTGTCCATGCCCCCCCGATCCTGGGGTGTCGGCTGCCGGCGCGGGGCTCTTGGGACAGGAGGGGAGGGGGCCTCATTGAGAATTTCCCATCATGTAGGCATCAGGGGCTTTAAACAAACACAAACATCCCCTGAGACAGGATCAAAATCACCCCCACACACCTGGCACACACCTGTAGACATGGACCCCCAGAACTCTCCCAACCCCCACAAAGACTCTCCCCTCAGAGTCACCCCCCGTCCTCAAGACAGATTCCCTTGTGTCCCACATAGACCCTTCCCGCAAGATGTCTCTCCCCCCACACACATGGTCCTGGTGGGTTCCATGCTCCCATCTCCCCCTCCTTTGCCATCTACAACACACACAGACCTCTCCAGCCCATGGACTCTCCCCCCCCCACATAAAGTTGTAAGCACTGGAGTAGTGTGTGGGTGCATCACACCTACCTGAGCCGCAGGGGGCGCTGTACTCAGCCTCTGTGTGTTCACCTGCAACACAAGGGATGTAAGGAATGGAGGAGAGACCCAGTGGAGGGATGAGAACCCCTCCCCCGAATCCCACACAGGCAGAGTCTGTTACCCCAGCCCCAGAGGATCCCTGCTGTAGGTCTGAGCCCTAGAAGGGAGTGAGAGGTCGCCCCCAGCTGTCTGAATGGGGCTGTGCGCTCTCTCCCATCCCCCATCTCCAAGTAAGTCAGATGGGCCCAGAAATTATCACTCAGTCACCCCTCAAAACGCTCATGGAAACCGTCCTGCCACCTCCTGGGCCCAGGACAAAGGGTTCTGGGGGCATCTGAGAATCTGGATGGTAGAGGAAATATGGGTGGCCCTAAAGGGGGGGGAGGTGACGAAGTGGGGGAATTTCTTGTTTTTCCTTCGTTTTCCAATGGTTTACATGCAGATGGGGTGGGACTCAGTGTCCCCAAGTGTTACTGGTTTAACAAGGTGAGGGGAGATGGAGTTTGCTGTTACAGAGGACCAGAGAGGGAATTTGGGACCCCAGCCGATGGCCTGGAGGATGGACACCCCAGCAACTGGTGACCTTATGATCTGGTGACCCGGAGGCCCGGCTCAGGAGTCGCAGCCAGTTGTGGCCAGTGGGAGGACAATGGGCTGTAAAGAGAGGACCCCGATGACCTGACCAGCTGGTTCCAGCCAGAGGGGGCCAGAGGACAGAAGAGAGGCGAGGAGGACCAGGCGTCCCAGTTTACAAACCTGTTTACCTGGAGAGAAGACAATGGACAGAGGCAGGGCTTGGGGCTGGGGATCTCAGATTCCCAGCTGGGAAGCAGGGGGGGTCAGGGCTGGAGAGGGGGAGCAGGCAGAGCCCACCTGGATGCAAGGGAGACTGGGATGTGCTGTGCTGAGGGAGGCCAGGCCTGAGAGTCACTCCAGGCTACAGAACAGGCTACAGAACAGGAGGCCGCGGGGGTCTAGAGCACGTGGAGCACGTGCCCACAGCAGAGACAGACATGCTAAGGCTCAGAGAGGTGCGGTTCCAGGAGGTGGAGGGGCTTAACCCTCGAGAGAGAGTTGACCCCCAAGAAAGGCTGTCGCACTGAAGGGGGTTCCCCCCCACAGACCACACGGGGCCAAGAGTGGGCACGATCTGTGAGTCCATGACAAGGGGAACTCGCCTGCTCCTGCTGGGATGGTTCCAGTTACACCAGCCCCATGCGCCCCACTAGCCCGACAAGCACATGGCTGCCGTGTCCCGCCAGGTGAGCCGACTCCACAGATCGAGCCTGGGAACACGCCCCCAGCAGGTGTCTCCAGCTTGACCCCCGCAGGCCCACGGCGGGTCGGCTGCCAGTCTCTGCCCAAGTGCTGTGTCCAGGCCCGAGCAGGAGGGTGAGATCAGCCATGGAAAAGAGTCACAGGGAGCAGGGGGGATTGCAATGGCACGACCCTCTACCCAGGCACTGGTTGTGCCACAGAGCCCAGGAGAGCGGCTGTAAAGGTGGTGGATCGCGGGCGGGACTCACCCGTCTCGTAGTAATCATACAGTCTCACTGGGGCTGCTCTGAGATTCTTCACAGGGAAATCTTGCTCCAGGGAGAAGGTGAAACTCACCGCCTCCTTCGTCAGCTACCGAGAGAGCGACAGAGCGAGCGCCTGGGTTGAACGTCTGCACTGGCAGCTTGAACCCCCTCCTCCCCGAGACTCACACTGGCCCAGCCGCTTCCCCCTGTCCCTGTGGCCTGGAGCAATGAGAAAATGCTCCCCCCGAATCCCTGTTCCACCCTCCTGCAAAATGTGACCTCCTTTCATCACACTCAGGGCCCAGTTCCAGCCCCCAACCCTGAGCTCCCTGTCGCTCCGTTCATGGCCCTCCCTGGGGTTTGGCTGAGTCTGGTCCCATCTCCCCGTCCTTTATGGAAACGGGTCACTTGGAACCAGGGAAAATTCCGTGACCCTACACCGTGCATGTGACACAGATCTCATGAGAGCAACTGTAATGGGGGTGGAGCCAGGGCAGGACACGCCCTCTCCATTCACACCAGGCCCTCGGAGCCCCAAGCCGCCCGCACTCACCTGGTCCAGATAGAGTGTCACCTGGTCATTCTGCACCTCCAGCCTCTTCACCAAACGCTGCTTCTCCAGCTAGGAGCAGAGGGAGGAAACGGCTGATCCTGGAACAGAGGGGCTGGGGCCGGAGTCACTGCTCTGCTGGGGGCTGGGACATGGGGCACCAAACGACCCCATGGCTGAGGGGCCTGGCTGCCACCCCCATGCCAGTCACACCTGAGCACTGGGTGTCTGCTGGGGGAGGGGCGGGAGTCTAGACATGGGCGTTGTGTTGTAGGGGGAGCTAAGCAGGGTCAGGACCTGCTCAGTGACTGGATGGGAGACCCAGGGCTGCACAGTGCCCCACTGCAGGGGGCAGGGCTCTGCAGGGGGAGCTCCCCCTGGGGGTCAGAGCTGCAATCTGTGCTCTCCTGGGAGTCTGGGCTCTCCCCCATGGTTCAGCCCCTGGTTTCATGCTGTGTGACTGGCCCGGCCTGTTCTCCTCCCTGGGAAGCTCACCTGCTGCAGGGACCTCTTGACGGGGGTGTAGCCGGACGGCAGCTTGACCTCGATGATGGCCATGTTGGTGGCTGGGCACTCCCCACTGTACCTGCAACAGAAGCCGTGCGCTGAGGTCGGGGTTTGCCCTGGATACAGACCACAGGGGGATGGAGGAGGAGGGGACGCCTCCCATCTTCTCGGCCCTGCAGGCATCTCTAATGCCGTCTGCCTGCTCTGGGCTGTGATCCCCGCTAGCCCCCAGCCAGCCCTGAACTCCCCAGGCAAGGGGCCCTGGCCCCAGGAGCTCCTTGGGAGCCGACTGTCCATTAGATCAGCCCCGGGACCAGCCCTTTAGTCCCTGGCACATTCCAAGGGGCCCCTGCCTCTGCCCTGAGCCCTGTGGGGGGATGGCTCCCCCGACGATCGATTCCAGCCCTGCCCTGGCCCTGCAGTGGGGCGGCTCTGCCCTGGCCATTTCCCCGCTGCCTGAGGCCTGTCCCTGCCCCCGGGCGCTCTGACCCAGCGGGGTTGGGGAGCTGGGGCTCGTACAGGGCGTGCAGCACGAGGCTGAAGCGGGATCTGGCGCTCTCGGTGCACTCCTTCGGCTCCGTCTCCACCCACAGGTCAAAGGTCGCGGCGCTCTTTGGGGGCGGCACGTTGTAGCGCAGAGTCAGCTGGGAGACAAGCAAGAGGGTTGGGGCAGAGCCTGCTGCCTCCGCCACAGCAGATCAGAGCCTGGGCCCAGAGTCAGGGGCCGTGGGGCAGGGCAAGGGCACAACCAGTCACTGCTGGGCCGGCTGGTCCCCAGGGGCTCCTGCACTCACCTGCACAAAGACACAGCCCTTGCCACTGGCCCGCACCGTGTACTGCCCGGGGATCTCCTGCAGGGCCGCTCGCTGCAGCACCAGCCGGTTGGCGTTCTCCACGTGGAATTGCTGCCGGGCCCCGGCCTGGGAGCTCACCGTCACCGACACAGCCCCGCTCGGGCTGTACGTCAGGGCTGCGTATTTAGCCAGGGCCTGCAGGGCCACCACCGTGTCCTGGGGAGGAGAGTCACCGAGCTGCTGTCACGCTCTGGAGAGAGGAGCCCGGCTCAGACTCACTGCACCAGGATCGGGACCCACCGGGGCGCTGAGACCAGGACCCCGGCTCCCAGTCCCTGAGGGCAGGGGGCTCTGCACCCAGGACTCCCTCTCCCAGGAAGGGCCCCAGCTCAGCTGTGAAGATGCAGCCCCCGGGGGGCTCCTGGCCCCTTCCTCCACCAGTCCCCCAGCGCTGGTTTGCCCCAAGGGCAGGGGTGTTACCTGCGTGGAGGAGAAGCCCCCATAAGGTTTCTGCTGCTTGGTGAGCCAGCGGACGATCTGGGCAGCGGTCCCCATGTCGGCAGCAGACACATTGGGCAGGGAGAGATAGGCCAGGAGCACGTAAGCCGTCATCTCCACCGACGGGGGCTGGTTCCCATAGGGGCTGGGCAGGGCCTTCACCTTCCTCTGCCAGTGGAGCTGTTCCCCTAGGAGAGGGGCCGAGGGAGGGACAGCCCCACGGCTGCAGTTACAACACAGTGGGTCATCCGTTTGTTTTCTAAAGGGGCCCCAGGGGCTTCCCAGGCCAGAAGGACGCCTGCCCCCCACTGAATGCAGCCACCTCTGGGACAGGACATGGCAGCTGATTCACAGCACACAGGAGGACTACACAAGTGTAATGTGACACCGCTGGGTGGGTCGTCAGCAGGGACTGAACCCTGGATCTCTGACTCGAAACCCCTGAGCCTCTGCTCCCCAAGCTAAAAACTCAGCCGCGGTGGCTCACTGGCTGCAAGTGACTCCTAAACCTATGTGGTGTGGCCGCTCGGGGGCAAAGGTGGTGCTACCCAAAGGGGGGCCTGACAGGAATATTCCCCCCCCCACCAGCCCATTACAAATATTAGCTGCATTAAATCCACAAACCAAAAAATATCCCTGTGACTTTGCACTCCATATTCTTTATGAAAATATGCTTATGAGATGAATATGACGTCACTGAGATATACGTTACGCCAGATGGCTAATGTGAGATATCATTGGAAAGGTTCTGATTTACTAATGTGATTATCCAATTCGTATGCATGTATCATCTCTGTATCTAAAGTTAGGAATATGGACTACGTAACCATTACAACTGGGTGTGTATTGGGAAGGCATCCACTTATGACAGGCCATCAGATTTGATGGGCCATCAGGAACAACAAGACCATGAGGATACTAATCTCTCTCCCTGTTGGGAAGCATCCAGGGATGTAACTGTGACACTGCTAGGTCAGGTGGTCTTGTCACCTGATACTAAACATTACTTGGGACTTCTTGTAGCTTTCCACTGGAAGGGAAGTGGGGGCAAGTCTGGGAAACAAAGGATTCCCGCCTTATGTAAATACTAGTTAAGGGTGGGGAGGAAGGCAAATGTGGGGACTCCTCTTCATGGCCTGTCTGCCCAAAAAGAAAGACTGCTAAAACCACCTGGAGGGCAGGCAAGCGGGGAGTCCAGACTGAGACAGGGGTCCAGTCTGAAAAGAAATATAACTGGAACTCTGAACCACAGATACTTTGCAACCTGCCTAAAATAACATTTAGAGTAAGAAATTACATTTTGTAACCTGTTTCTTAAGTATATTGAGTTTAGCTTGTGTACTTTGTTTTATTTGCTCAGTAATCTGCTTTGTTCTGGCTGTTCTCTCTTATATTCCCTTACAACTCACCTTTTTGTAGGTAATAAACTTATTTCTCGTTTATAATCTAACCCGGTTTGTACACTTTCGAACTGGGGGGAGGGGGCAGGAAGTCAGGCACATCTCTCTTCACACTGAGGAAGAGGGCGGATTTTTATGAGCTTGCGCTGTGCAGATTTTTCTATACAGCGCCAGACACTATTATTCTGGGTTTATCTCCCAAAGGGGTGTGCACGTGAGTGCTGGGGGAGTCATCACACACAGAGCTGACATCAGTCTGTGTCTGCAGCTGGGTGTGGCCCTACCTGTGTGTGCTGCAAGAGGCCGGAGCGCCTAATTCAGCACCGCACGGAGGGAACCCAGGCTGGTGGAGCAGGAGAGGCTCAGGACTAGTCTACACTGGCAACACTAAAGCGCTACTGCAGCAGTGCTTTAATGTGCCTTGTGTGGTCCTCTCCCAGCGCTCTAAAAATCCCACCTCCACGAGGGGCGCAGCTCCCAGCGCCGGGGCACTGTCTACACTGGCGCTTTACAGCGCTGCAACTTGCTGTGATCAGGGCGTGTTTTCCCACACCCCTGAGTGAGAAAGCTGCGGCGCTGTTAATTGCCAGTGTAGACAAGTCCTCAGTGAAATCCCAGTACATCAGATGGTATCCCAGAAGCGGGGTCCAACCCATCACAATCCCAACCCCCCCCCGAAACCGACACCCTGGTAAACAGGCCACGTTACATTAGATGAACGGGTTTGGGGGGAAATACCAAACTGGGGGCCCCATGATCTGCTTGGGGCCCTAAGCAATTGCTTAGTCTGCTTATGCCTCATGCAAACACTGCTAGAGGGGGGCAGAGAGCCCCTGAGAGACTGTGGGGCCCCCCGGGGATGGGGGCAGGAGGGCAGCATGACCCAGGTGAAGGGCATGGATGGCGCTGATGCCTGGTAAACACCCCCCTCCACAGGGTCTTTGTGACCTCGGAGACAGGTCCTGTAACCCGAGGGCTGTTTCACCCCAGTAACTGGCGACCCCTGGGTGCCCCCAGCAGCAGAGCCCCCACCTCTCCCCTCCCTGGGGCAGGAGCCAGGTGCTGCTCCCAGCACTTCTTACCCACCTCGGAGCAGGGCAGGAGGCGACACACACAACTCGCGGGCACAGACCAGCTGCAGCCGCCACGCTGGGGCTTGGAGAGAAGGGACTTTTCACCTGAGCTGAGACACGACAGAGCCACCTGGACCATGCAGGCGGCTCCTCTCTGTGGGGGACGTCTCCCCAGGGCCTGGCAGGAACCGAGTGCGCCAGGCCTCAGCTCCAGGCACGGCTCAGTCTGAGCTCGAACGGCGCCGAGGAGACGCACAGAGATCACTGGGGTGTGTTCATGACGAGAGTGAGGGACCCAACCTGGGACTCCCAGCGCCCCCTGGCCTCCTGCTGGGGGCTCCTTCAGCTCAGCACCGATGTGGGGCAGCGCCACCTCCTGCGTCCCCAGCCGCGCTCCCAGTGGGCCTCGGCCCTCCCATGGGACCTCCCGCCCTATGGGGAGCTGGCCCCAGACTGCATTGCTCACACCGGGGCTGGGCTGGGAGTGGCACAAACCCAAGGGCATCTGTGCAGGGAAAGGCTAGGGGAACTGGAGCTGGGGGATGGGCAGCCTCCCAGCAGGAACACGGGGGCACATGGTGCAGACAAGGGGGCACCCAGAGACCTGCTTCCCTGTACAACCCCCTCTCCCAGAGACGGCAGGGCCTAGTCGGCCCCGGCCCAGTGCAGTCCATTCCCCTCCCAGTATTAGCCTGGTCAAGCCGAGATGCCTCGGGCAGGGACTCCCCAGCTGGGATGTCCCCAACACAGATGGGGCTGGGATCCTCTGGCATCTCCCCAGGGCTTGGTTACCACCCATTCCCCTTGGGAGCTGCCTACGCAAGGCCCTGCCCCACAGGCTCTGAGCCCACTGGACCCCATCACGCTCCTGGTCCCGGGCGCTTTAGAGGGCTGTGTTGGGACATGGGGCTTTGCCCCTCTAGGTCCTCAGCTCCGATCCCCCCCAGGCTGGCAGCGACCCAGCCTCGTCCCCCTTCGCTCCGTGCGCTGGGCCGTGGGAAATGGCGGGACGATCTCACTCCAGCTCTGAGGGGAGAAGTGTCCCCATGACAGAGCCCAGTGCGTCGGCCCCTCGCTGGCAGCCTCAGCAGAGACCACGGACTGACTGGGCCACGGAGACCCATCTCCCCTGCCAGGCTGAGGAGGTCCCGGGGCAGGGGGCACCTGGGTGGGCAGGGCTGCAGGGGGCAGCTGGCCCTGCCCTGTGTCTAGAGGCCGGCAGCGAGGAGAGCACTAGAGCGAGGTGCTGCCGGTACCGGCGCTGACGCTGTGCTGGGCCAGGTGCTGCAGAAGGGTGTCCCGCAGTTCACTGCTCCCCGCCAGCCCGAAGGCGTAGGCCAGCAGCGCCTGAGTGTAGAGGTCACTGGTGCTCGACTTCCGGAGACACTGGAGGGCCCTGGTAACCATGGGGTCCTGGTACGGGGGAGACACCAAACAGACTCCCCGTCAGGCTGAGCCGGCCAGAGGAGACACCCCGTGCCTGAGTGTGTCCCATGGCAACCACCCCATGGGGCCCTAATACCCCCTCCCACCACCCTGTCATCACCTCCCCCGACCCTGCCCCCACAACCACCTGCACCCTGCGCCCCACAAGCCTCGCCAGACCCCCTCCCCCGAGTGCTAGACACCGAACAGACTCTCCATCAGGCTGAGCTGGCCAGAGGAGACGCCCCGCGACTCGGGCCTGGGCGTGTCTCCCGGCAACCACCACATGGGGCCCTAATACCCCCTCCCGCCAGCCTGTCATCACCTCCCCCCGACCCATCCCCCCACCGCCACCCGCACCCTGCACCCCACAAGCCTCGCCAGACCCCCTCCCCCCGAGCGCTAGACACCAAAACAGCCCGGCCCCTCCCCAACCTGCTGAATCTTCCTCCGACCCCGACCCCAGCCCAACTCCCCACAGCACCCTGACCCCCGCCTTGGTACCAACCCCCCCGACCTGTCAACTTCCCCTTCCCCCACCAACCCGCCTCTCCACTGCCCCCCACAGCACCCTGACTCCCCCCAGCTGCCGGCCCCTCCCTGGGGACAGCCGGGCTTGGCCTCACCGTGAGCGGCTGCCCCAGCTCCAGCAGCACCACCGTGATGTAAGCCGAGAGAGAGAGCTCGTCCACCACGCCGCCCTGACGGGGATGGAGACATCGGGAGTTGGCTCAGACCGAGCTACGGGGCACGTTGCCAGGAGCAGGTGAGCCGCTGCCCAGGACAGGCCCACTGGGCCTGAGAAGACCCGGCTCCAGCGCTCCGAGTGGCTGGATTTGGGTCCCGCCGCCTGCTGGGACCTATCAGGCCATCTCAGCTGCCCCCAGTCGTAGCAGCCAGGGAGGCCACACGGTGGCAGTGAGTTCCACAGGCTAATTCAAGAGAGGTGGTAGCAACTGCATAGCCATGGCTGCACTGGGCTCCCAGCATAAAATCCTACCTGAGCCCCCCCTGGAACCAGAGGCTGGGAAGTTGGTTTGAACTGACATTTGCCAGATTTCCTGTGAAGACCAGGGGCCGTTTCTGCAGAGGCTGAGGGATTCAACCCTCGCTGGGCAAGTTCCTGCTCATTAAATAGTCCCCCCCGTGCAGGAATCTGGACTTTGCCTAATATTTGTCTCCTTCTAGCTCCCAAACAGCTGGATACAGCCCCAGCCCCTTGTGACGTTATGAGTGTAATATAATATCTCACTGAAAGGTGACAAGGCCAGAACGAGTTAATTAACTCACAGACTGACCTGACCCATGGCCGAACTTTAGAGACTGGTTAGGAAGATATGTAAATGAATAGAGCTTTGAAATGCAAGTCTGCATTGTTAGAGATCGAAGGGGAGATGTTTGCTCAGGTCTTGTGATGTAAGCAAACAAGTCTTGTCTATTGCTATAGCTTTAATTCAAAGATCAAAAAAGGAATATTAACGTTTATGAAGACACTTGAGAGAAATAGTATTATTGTCTCTATGGCCTGGTCTACACTACGGGTTTAGGTCGACTTTAGCAGC